GGACTGGGTAACATGCTGATTTTTCCCTGGTGTCCTGTTCATATTGATCATATATACATCTTTGAACAATCATCTATATCTAAATACATATCATCACGAGCTTCATGATGAAGGAAAATGAAATGAATACTCTGATTATGCAGCCAGATAAACAATGTCATGTTCAAGGAATAATTTAAAAGATCACAGCAAGAACAAATCATCAAATGAGTGTCCATTAGCTTCTGGCAAAACTCGAAACTTATTTTCTGGTGCAGCTCGATCTCACTGGAGGAAATATACAGAAAGAAGATGTTGAAAGGAACAGTCACCAAGAATCTCTAATTCATTCTGATAATTGGAAGCTTGACTTTGTTAGGCAAGCCGCATCTTAATATTGTAACAGTAAAATACGAGCTTGTCGAGAAAAATCTCCGGTAAGAAACCGAGAATCACATAAATCTTCCTCAACAGTACTTCAATGGCAAATTGACAGTAGTACTTCAAATGGGTTTTCGGAACTTCCCATGAACCCATACCCTTTCCATGTTCTTACCATTTCGGCGATTCAAAGACTTCACACAACAGTATTCAAGCTCAACCTGAAGGAGACAAAAACGATAATGAACAAGAAGCTGACAAGATCCTTCGAATTTCTTTCCTATAGACTAAGAAGAATTCTTTCAATTCCAAGAAATTCAGAGACAGCTGGATTGCAGCATGTAATAACACAGAAACAAAGGTTTTGTGCATAAATCCAAGTTATAGATATTCAACTTTCAATAATCTTAGATGCAAGGAAAGAAATCCAGATATAGGTTCGCATATAAATCCAAATTAGTACCTCAGTGAAGCCTGCACCAACAAAGAGACTCCTTACAGTATCCAGACTAAAGAAATAAGATCGAGTACCATCAGAGCGCATATATTCTCTGAACCCTAGTCTTTGGTCGGGCTTAAATCGAAGCATAGTCATATCATAAAGGCCTGAGTTTCATCATGCTGAACATCAGTAAGTAGTTCAGGTAGATGAGTTTTATTATATCCGAAAGTGAAAAATCAAGACAAGAACTCTGTCAAGTGAAATGCAAAACTTCTATCTATTGAAACAAATAGCAAAAACTTGGACCCATAGATGTTTCGTTGGTTGGTCAAGTACCATAATCCCTGAATAAGACCAGACCACCAGGCTTTAAAACTGAAAAGCAATTTCTGATGGATGTCGGCATCTGTTGGACTGGTACAGCTGAGAGTGTGAATATCTGACATAGCAAACACAAGCAGAACCAAGCATTTACATGGCATGTTTGACAGGCAAAAAAAAACTGAATGGAATGCAGATTCTCATAACTATTGTTTAAACCAAAGAATCATAAAGCATGCATCTTTAGGGATTCCTATCAAGCCATCTGGACTGATGAGATGCAAGAAGCATATGCCACATCTATTACAACTATTCAAACGTGAAAAGCCAATCTCTTTTATGATCAAATTCTACTGTCAATAGTTCCATGGTGCATAAGCTTTCACCAGAGTACAGAAGGAAAATATACTGGAGACAAGGAGATCAAAGAACTAAAAAGCATACTACAGTGTTCTACTAGGTTTCCCAGAAAACAGAAAGTTCTAGAAGTAAATGCTTCACTATATGTTGCAGTTTCCACTCAAGAAATTCATACAAAATGCTTTATCTGGATTGGAAAAATCATGATTAATGAAGCGTGGCTTGAGAATTTTATACTTGATTTCTCCATTAGTTACCTTATCCTTATTCAAAATGTCAAAAAGCTCGTTCCAGAATATTTTGTTTTATTTGGAAATAAACTAAGTTGTATGTCGCCCACAAAACACTATTATTCATCAACAGATGTCCCAAGAACGGATCCACAAAGAAATGAATCATTGAGCCAAAGCTAGTCCATGGATGTGGATTAGAAAGTGAGATCAT